ATGACTTCTGAACCTCCTGGAGGTCACACAAGCATTAACTTTTTTTAGAAAGGTTTTCAGGAAGAACATCATTAGTCTAACGTAAGCCAGACAAAAACAGAGTGATATAATTTCATTTATTCGTTGTGCCAACAAACACTTATAAGCCCCTTACTCTGTGTGCCATGATTCCCATTTTATGGAAAGGGCCCCTGGGGCTTAAAGACTAAAATAAGTAACAGAACCTGTTCTTATACCAGGTTTTCTAACTAAAGCCAGTGCTTGTCTATCAAATCACAGCTATTTGTATGCAAAGTAATGGAGTTTCACATAAAAGCCTCCACTTCTGCAGAACTGGGACAACTGTGTTTTCTCCGGGGGCCCCCAGTGCCTCACTGGGCCTAGATCTTGGGATGCCAGCAGGGACTGTGTGCTGAATGGGCTCCTGAATGACTGAATGAAAAGACAAGTACTACCTTTTATACTTTTTTAAAAGCTTCCTTTACCCAGCTGAGAGGTTTCTCTCCATGGAAGGTGTATTTTCCCCAAAATAAACCCGAAGTGGATCAAAAGGCTTTTTTTTTTTTTAATTCCTACTCTTCCCACAACATGAAAAAAGTTCCTTTGTTGCCTAAAATATCTGCACCAGATCTTACAATGCTGTCTCTTCGTGCAAGTGCTTATTATTGTGGCTAATTTGGTCACATGTGTTTGAAGGAGAACAATGCCTCAGAAATTTTTAAAAGCAAAACAGCAATCTGAGGCATTTGTTGTAATGAGATGTAAATTGCCAACATCGTTAGTAGTAGAGCCGACTAAAATTCACAATGAAATCTTTTTCTCCCCTCCTTCTTAAATTAAAAGCACTAGAGGCTCTCCCCTCACCTCCCCAAAGAAATCGCATGCTTTTTAGTCCTTTTCTCTTGGATTCTGTAATACTGAACACCCCGTTTTAAGGATCCAGTCATCCTTTCATTCACCTGCCACGTCCTGAGCCTCTGTTTTGCGCCTGCCTCTGTACTGGGCTCTTCCGAAGGCATCACCAGCTTTCGTGGTGGCTACGGGCAATCCCCACTTTGCAGGTAGGAAAAGCCAAGGCACAGAGAGGGGAGGTGTCTAGTCTAAGGTCATGAAGCTATGATTCATACCCAGGTCCCCTGAGAAGCCCCTCCTGAGGCGTGCCTTCAGCTGGTCTGCCCTCCTTGCTGAGGTGGAGGAACCTGTGCTGAAGAAGAGAGCAGCCTCTGGGTGTTAAATGGTACTGAGGGAGAATGGTAGGAAACAGTTTTCCTCGAAAGCCAGAAGATCCCAACACTGTGGTCCCTGAGGAGACCAGCATGAGCCCAGGGGGGCACAGGTGTGCCGTGGGGGTGCCAGGACCTGCTTTGTGTGCACCAAAGCCATGGTTTAGTGGTGGATTAACAGAGTGGCCAGGGATAACGTGTGTGTGAGGGAGGGGCGGTGCTGGGGAGCAGTGTTTCCTCAGTGCCCGCTCTGTGCCACACCCTGGAGTGCTCATTTCTTATATATCGTCAACTCACTGAATCTTCAGTCTTGCCAGATCTCTGTTGTGTCTCCTTCTTTCAGGTGAGTCAACAGGGTCAGAAAGGTTAAGTAATTATTCATGTGGAAATTACCTGTTGAAGGTAGAATGTGAACCAGGCACACTGTGCTGAGCCCTGGTCTCTGAAATAAAAAGACACAGCCTCTGCCTGCCCTCAGGCCTCACAGTCTAGTGGGGGAGACAGACACAGAAACAGCTGAGTGCCTCTGATTATTGTGGGGGTGGGAGGCAGAGTTCCTCCACCTGAGGAAGCTTACAGCTCACCCTAAACAGTTAAGTGGCAAATCCAGAATTTAAATTCCAGTCTCTGACTCCTAATGCTAAGCCAAGGCGTGGAGAGAATAACACCCCCCTTTTGAAGGGATAGAATAGCCTCATGGAGGAGGTGGCATTTGAGTCAGGCCTTGAGTGCCTGGTGGAGTTTGGCTGGGTGGACATCTGTGGAGTAGAGTGGTCGGACAGCAGGATCGCCGCAAGCACAGACTGCGAAGCTGCTAAGGAATGGTGTTTGTGGGGAGAGGGCCAGGCTGGCACTTTGGAATGGAGTCTGACTTGGCGGAGGTGGTGGTGGGGGAGCAGCAGGGGATGGGGCCAGAAAAGTGACTCTCAGCCCTCACTCCTAATGTCCCTTATATGTCCCTCTGTAGTCCTCCGAGTCATCTGTTCCGGCTGGCTCTTTCCAATCTGTTTGACAGCCTAATTTCTACTTCTGGGCTGCCAGAAAGGTGACAGAAGTCTAAAGACAGCTCCCACCCACCCCCGCCTGTACCCCTAAGCACCTCAACTCAGCAGCAGGGCTTTGTTTCAGGACCTTTGCCCCAGCCTGTCTAAATCCCCTCCTCCCCAATAGCTCTCTCCCCTCATGTCATGAAGGATTTATTGAGAACCTACAGTGTGCCAGGTGCTGTTCTGGGTGCCAAGACTGCAAAGAAAGTAAAATTTTGCCCCCAAAGAGCTTCACAGTCTAATGTGGACAACAGACAGATTGGCAGATGATTGCAAACAGAATTTGCTGGAAGTATTTATAAAACAGAGGCATCCCTCCCCCCTGCCCCCACCCAGTAATGACCAGAGCAAGGCCTTACAGAGGACATACCTAGGCTCAATGGCAGGCAGATGTGGCTTTATGCAAGGCGGAGACAGTAGCACCTCCAAAGGCATGGTGGCTGGGACCGCACAGCATCGGGGGTCCTGGGCAGAAGCAAGAAGTGAGCACCAGGAGTAGAGAGGAGGCTGGTTGTTCTGGGCCTCAGGAAGGCTACAATGTATGACATCATTCTGAGGGTAATTAGGAAGGAAGGTGCTAAGCAAGGAAGGACACGGTCTTAGGTCTTAGGTCAAGGAGATCTCTTTGGCAGCTGTGTTAGAGATGGATGGGAGAGAACCAGACTGAAGTCAGAGCTGAACTGGAGTCCTTCTCTTGTCCACCATCTTTTCATAGAAGGAAAAAGAAGCTTTAGAGAATGGACACAATCTTGCCAAAGATGATCTGTGAGCCAGTGGCTACGGGGACCTCATCCTCTCAGCCCAGCCCTTTTTCCTGTTGCTGAATGTCAGAGCAGGAAGAGACCTCAGATGCCAACTGGGCCATGCCCTTTAGGGGAAACTGAAATAATTACCTCTTCCCTGATCTAAGAAAAGATCAAATGCTCCACTTGAGTTTTATCTCAGAAATTCAACCTGAGGGGCGCCTGGGTGGCTCAGTGGGTTAGGGCCTCTGCGTTCAGCTCAGGTCATGATCTCAGGGTCCTGGGATCGAGCCCCGCGTCGGGCTCTCTGCTCCACAGGGAGCCTGCTTCCTCCTGCCTCTCTGCCTAGTTGTGATTTCTCTCTGTCAAATAAATAAAATATTAAAAAAAAAAAAAGAAAAGAAAAATTCAACCTGAGATCTCACACAGAGAGAGGAGAAACTTTGGCGTCTGCTTCTGAAACTGTAGAATTCTTCATTCATTGTTGTCATTCTTTTATTATTGAGCAAACATTCAGAGAATACCTACTAGGTGCCAGGGGCTGGGGACAAAGAGAAGAGCCCAGCTCTTGAATAGGCGACACAGTATTAGGAGCTGCCATCAGAACAATCATGATGTCATCTGTCCTTCACTCTGCCACCTTCTGCATCTACAGTTCACTCCCCTGTGGCCCCGCAATTAAAACACAGCGGAGCCAGGCACAGCACCGAAACTGACTGTCCCAAGATGAGCCATGCGTTTCCATCAGCACAGTTCTGCTGCCCGGCCACGTTGCCTTCTGTTTTGTGCAGGGCTCACACTTACACCCTTGGAGACTGCCGAGATTCTGTCTTGCAGATGGCAGCGGCCGGCAAGTCAGGAATGATAGTCTTGTTCTAGGAAGCCATGTCACGAGGAATTTTAGTAACAAAATCACCAATACCATCTCTACCACCAGCCAAAGTCTAGGATATAGCAATTGAACATAGAATTGCAACTAGCTCATTAGGGCTTTGATGTATAAAGAGCTCTGTACAAAGTGATGCACCTGGTTAGGATAAGGAAAGATTAGACCATGATATTCATCAGTTACTTAAGGTATAGGCATGGCCCAGGGGACCCGCGAGAGCAGTAGCCAAAACCCTGAGCCTGAACAACCACCGAAAGGTTTGCGGGGGGAGCATTTCCAGCGTGCTGAGCTCTCCATTGGCCTTTGGAATTGCTCTCCTCTAAAAGTTAATCAAGTCATTCAGCCTTATTTACTCATTTTCATCCTGTTTCTCTGCCCTTTGGTAATCAAGACACAATAGGTGATTTAAAAAATAGTCCATCATTTTTAAACGCTAATGGAGAAGAAAAAAATACTCCCCTTAGAAACCACCACCATTTATCCAGCTTCCTTTCACTGTTTAAACTGCGCGTAATTTGTGTTGATTGCATTAAAATAAAAATCAGGGTAGCTGCTAGATCAGGCAATCAGAAGCTTAATCTGTATTGTATTTTAATTTCTTGGTTGAAAAGCTTCTGTCTAGCTAGATACTAGGTCTTCGGGAGGGGGAGGCCTTTGCATTTCTCCCCACTGCTTGCCTAACCTCCATTCTTTGGCCGTGGCCCACTCCCATGGAGGCTGCAGAGGTGGGCTTTTCACAAATATGCAGTTTGCGTATTACAGTGACGCCCACCCTTCTCCACCCTGGTCTTAACAGGACCTCTCTTCGGAGCAGGCAGTTCAGTCCCCTGCATTTCCATTCAGACAATGACACCTTCAAAGACCACTTCTCATTTGTACTTAGAGTCTGGTTCATTCTTGTCTTCCAGTTTTCTTCCTTTTCCTTTGTGACGTTCATACCTCATATTATTTTCAAGCCTGGGTTTAAGTGTAGTCCAATGGACAAAATAAGCCAGCCTATTTATTTTGTGCCACTATGTGCTGATAGATGCATAGTTAAAAATATTTGCCTTTTATTTTCCTTGGAGTTCTAGACAGATCTCTTTTCTTAACTGCCTAGGTCCCGCCATTGACTTGGAAAAAGTAAAGTCAGAATGTCTCGAGCCCGAGCCGGAGTTACGGAGCACTTTCAGTGAGGAAGCAAATACGTCGTCCTATTACCCCGCTCCTGCACCTGTCATGGACAAGTATATCCTAGACAATGGCAAGGTAGTGTTTCAAGCTCACTATCCGTTCCCTGCAAGTGTTTGTTAGCTAGAGTAACAATGGAGAGTATGGTGGGAGCTTCCTGCACCACAGCTTGGCCAGTTGGCCTCCTGGCCCGGGCCTGAGTAACTATTTCCAGAATTCGTGTTTTGTAACTAGTGGAGCTGTACTGGGACTTGTTCTTTTTCTCTCCCCCCTCCCCTTTTTCTTAAATACTGGACCAAAGTAACTGTAAAAACTAAACTGACATTTTAAAATAGCTTAGTTTTGAGGAAGATTTTAAAAAGCATGGTAGTTTGATGAAACTTGTCCTACCCACCTATAAAACCAGATACATAAAATTTATAAGGTGTACTAGATATGAAATCTCTGATTGACAGATAACTCAATGTGTGTCCATTCACCATTTACAAAGTATCTACATGTTCTAAGCCCTGTGCTAGATGCTGAGGATAAGCTGGTAAATGAGACGTGCTCCTTGTCCCGAAGCTGTTTCCAAGCTGTATGTTCAGCAGAGGTCAACCCACATATAACTCCTCAGATTTTCTTGTAAGACCCTCAGAACTCCTCAGATTTTCTTGTAAGACCCTCAGAAAAAATCTTGAAAGAAAACTTAAGCACTATTAGTAGTTACATTGGTACAGGGGTGAAAAATAACGGAATAGCCTTGAAAGGTCTTAAAGTCACATGATAGAGCACTGGGCAGGGAGAGAACTGTTCTGACATCCTTCTAACCTCCAAATGGATTCATCTTGGAAGAAGTATATTGGAGCCCTTTGTCTAGGCACTAGTCAAATTCAGTTTTAGTGTTCTATTTCTGCCACCGTGGCATACATTATAGACATCACCTCTCATTCTTCCCCAAAAAATCATCTGTGTCAGTCTGTTTTTCTTGCCGCCTTGTGCTTCAAAAGGTCTCTGTTTATCCAGTATTGTTCCCCAGTGGGCTGATGAGAAAGAAAAGGTTGTTTTCTTTGGGTTCGTCCAGATACGTCCCTGCAACTGGCCAGATTGAGGCAAAAAGCAAATATCGTCAGCTGAGGAAATGAAATGTGTTAGTCTTGAGGGCTGTCTTGGATAGGCTGTCATGCCCTCTTCTCCAACTGAGCACTGCCTCCCCACACCCCACCCCCGGAGGCAGAACTGATGCGCTGGGTCGTTGGCCCCTTCTCTCTTGACTTGCTCCAGCCCACAGGCTTTAAAAGTCTGCTTTGCAGGGGACAGATGGCATGACAGGGTGGATATAGGCAGCCCAGAGCCTGAATGCCGAGTAGAGCTCTATCTCTGTGCTTTCTCTGTGACCTTGCTTGGATGGGTCCTTCCCTTTTGTGGGCCTCAGGGTCTCCATCTTCACGAGCTAGGATGGATCATTGCTCTCTGTAGGCCTTTAATGACTCCAACTGTGTAGCTAAGTTGGGTGACTCTTCCGCAGTTGGAGATAAAAGAAAGGACTATTTTGTGTGTGTTGATTTCTTTTTAGTCATGACCAGAATGTAGAGTGACTAGAGACCTTTTCTTAAGATAGCTTCCAAGAGAATTCTATTTCTCTCTTCCTTTGAAGACTGACAGATAGTTTCTGAGCATTATGGGGGCCGCTTTTGCAGAGGTATCATTTTTCCATTTCCAGAAAATGGGTCTCTCAAACCTCATTTAATGTTTTTACAGGAGTTGCACAATAAATCTTGAAATTGCCAATTTTGTTTTTTCATTGGCTATTGCTGACATGTTGCTGTAAAGCTAACCTGACTTTTGTTTGCAACTAATTGGTAGCTCAGCAGAGCAAATTTATGAAGAGAGAGGAGAGGAAGCAGACAGACTAGCAATGGATGGCGACTTCCCTGAGCAGGGTTCCCTGTATCCTCATTGTTCTTGGCTCGGCTAGCGTTTCTGACCCTTTCTTTTCTCTGCCTGCATGAACAAAAGCCTTAATCTCTGCAAAGCCTAGAGCATTAGAATGGGATCCATTTCCTAGTAGGAAACTAGTTTTGTCCTATAAAACATTTCACAAAGCCATTTTTTGATCAAGTCCCATCCTAGCAGGTGCCATATTTTTAATAGCCTCCCTTGACACATAAGGCTAACATTTTGGTCAAATAGCGAACTATATTTTATGTGAATAGGGCTTGCCACAAAAGTTACCTTGATTTTGATAAAGTTCATTGCTTTTTTTTTTTTTGTCTAAGATGGTTTATTTCAGAAACTCATTGAATCACAAAGCTGCAAAGACCATTAAAGTTTAAATAGTCTAATTTATACATGGCATAGATGGGGAAACACATCCAGAGAAGGGATTCCTCTGTAATTTTAGAATAGGTTAGAGACAGGCAGGTAGGAAGTGCAAGCCAGGTCTCCTGGTTCCTAGGCCAGTGTTTTTTCCAGTCTATTCTGCTGCATCTCTGAAAGCTGGGCCTTGCTTCAGGTGACCCTGGGCTTTGTTAACCTGAGGAGCCCTTGCCCCAGCACATACCTGTGATTGGTCTTACCCAGAGCCATTTCTTTCTGTGCTTTGTACTCAAGCGGGCCTTGTACTCAAGTGCATGTCAGAAAATATTTTCTTCTGTAAGGAACAACAGCTCATCAGAATTGAAAGCCTGTGCCACTAAAACATATTAAATATGCCCATCAGTTTCTTACTGCTTTGTGTTCAGACTAGTCCTGATCAGTTTGAAGGGGACAGAAGGGGCAAAGCTTCACCCCATCCCCATGGAGATGTACCGTGAAGGGCTAAATCAGGTGGTGAAGGCTCACAGTAGGCTAGAAATTCAGAGGAGTTGGAACTTAGCTCTGCAGCAATTAAAGAGTGTTTCCTGGATTGGAGACCAGGGCTTGAAAGATAAGCAGGCTTAAGAAGACATAGGAGAAGGCATTCATTTCTGGACAGGGGAAAGGCCTGAGCCGAGACACTGCTGGGGGTGGGAGGGATTTGGGGGGCGGAGAAGGCAAAGGGAATAACAGTTACTGAATGTGTGCTGTCCTCCTGACATCTGATTCATGTTATGTCATATAATCCTCAGAACAGCTCTATGAATTCGGTGGTGTTCTGCCTCTTCTCCACCTGAGGAAAGTGATGCTCAGAGAGAAAAAGTGGCTAGCCGAACATTCCCAGCTAGTAGGTAGCAGGGTCAGGATTCACACCCGGGGCTGGAGCCTCCAGGGCCCGTCTTTGTGTTACCGCACACTGAAAGTAGGAGGAGGAGAAGGAGTTTGAGAACATCATTGTGATGGCCATAGTAGGGAAATAAAGGCTAGGAGGTTGAATAGAAAGAGAATTCTAGAGGGCCTCTACAGCTGACTAAGGAGATTGGGTTGATGTGATAGTAAATAGGGAGCCATTCAAGATTCTAGAGGGTTCACACAGAAACACAGTTGAAAGACTGGAAGTCAGCTAGTCAAAGAAGGAGAGCCGTGTTTTAGGGAAACTGATCCTGGCAGTGGTTATACGGGGGGTTGGAGGAAGCAGGGACTGGAGGCAGAAAGCCAACCCGTGGCTTCTTCTGGCTTCCCTATCTGCTGTAGTAACCTGTGGTGGGGGACCAGCAAGGGAAGTGTCTGGGCCAGTACAGAGGGAAGCTGAAAAAGAAACCCAGTAGAACATTGATGCGATAGATAGGCTATGTTTCCACCACGTTGTCACCACGTTGTCACCACGGTGACACTGGCAGCAGCAGGAAGGTCTGGGTAACGGGCTCTGCCATCATACAGATTTGGGTTTGAATCTTGATCCCAAAATTTACTGCTAGTATGTCTTAGGAAAGGTAATTTTGTCCTTCTGATCTGGATTCATGTCTGTAAAGTGGGATTAATAACCTCTAACCTATTTCCATCTCTTAAGGTCATTATGAGGATTAAATAGAGGGTACAGTCCAGGTCCTCAAAAAATATCAGTGCCCCCCCCTTATCTAGTAGAATTTTGGCTAAAATGACTGTCATTTCTCTTTTAAGAATAATAAATTAAAAGATTATAGGAAAGAAAGGCCCAGGGTAGAAAAGAGCAGAGATCTTTGAAAAACGGAAGCTGTCTTCCTTCTCGAAGGTTTTCTGATTCCGAATTTAATTTAATTCAAATTCCTTCTTTTTCCCCTACGTGAGGAAGCTTGTGAGGGTAGCTTCAGAGTGCCATCAAGGGAGGTGACTTGGGGCCCAGCAGGGAGCAGCAGGAAACTTGTCCCCCCCATGCCTGATCTGACACCCAGACTGCCCACCTGCAGTTCAGACTGAGGAGGAAAGGCGGACTTGACCTCGGATCTGTATTGCCCAGGTGGCCCCAGGCAGCGCATCTCACTTCCAGGGCTGCTTATCTTCCCGAGCGTTGTGAGCAGATTTGCAATCCTGAGGTCTGCTGCACAGGGAGGCCAGGTGGATCTGGTTATCTGATAGCAGGCCTGCAGAGATCCGAGTGATCTTGTGAGCGGAAGGAAGGCAAGGCAGAGGACGCCAGCAGGATTGTTACTTACTGGCATTCGTGGGTGGGCTGTATTGCTGCGTTGTTTTGTTTTTGTTTTGTAATGATTGGAAAATGTCAGTAATTGGTGAAGGAAGAAGTGCTGCTGACCGACCTGTCTGTCTGTGTGTGCCCACCGTCTTTTCCAAGCCAGTCTTCAATCGTCTTTGAACAGTGCTTCTTGCCAGTCTGCCGTCAGTCTGGGGGTGTGTGCGGTCTCTCAGACCAGGACCTCTCCCGAGAGGTCTCCTGACCGCATGATGTGGTTGACCTACAGGTCTTGCTGCAGACAAGGACTTTTGGCAGAGCCCTCTCATCACCCTTAGGAAGTAGGCTCATTACCAACTGCCTCCTCTCCTTCCCCACAGAGGCCGTTTCCACCCTCCATAGACTCGTTAGAAACACAACATAAATGGCAATGTCAAAGTCAAAACCCTATTTTTTTTTAAAGGATAACATCAGCAAATGAGGTTTGAGTTGTTAAAGGAGCCAGAAAAGAGAAACACTTCTAGTTCATTGCTAGATCATTCTGAGTCCTTTACATTTAGTGACTCTGCTCTGAAACTTTGAGCGCTAACCTTGTAGGGAGCATTAGATTGTGTTTGTCCTGTGTGCCGTTAGAGTCAGACTAAGGAGGCCGTGGTTTGGTTTGATTTGTGAAAACCACACGTGTTCCGAGCCAGAAGGAACGCAGAGATGAAATCCCTCCTTCCCAGTTCCGTTCACAAGAAGCTGAAGCCAGAGGTGGGAAAGGACCTGTGCAAACACACTCCAGCTGATGGCCAAGCGGGGCTGCTGGCTGCCCCCTCCAGTGGGCCACGGTCTTCAGACTTAGCTGTACACCCGAATTACTTAGGGAACTTTCAACGATCCTAGTCCCTAGGCCCCACCCAGAGTAATAAATCCAAATCCTGGGAATGGGGCCCAGGCACAGGCAATTTTTACAGCTCCAGAGGACCCCCGGGTGTGCCGCTGTGGAGAAGCACTGTGCCGGGACAGCATGCTCACTCGAAAGGGAGAAAGGTCCTTCTGAAGTGCGACAGACAACTGTATACGTTCCTGAGATTCAGTCAGGCTCTCAGTGGCCTCGTTATAACTTGAGTAGAGCTTAGAATCTCCATCCTACAACTTAATAGTCGAGTGACTTTTGGCAACTGGCTTCACCTTTCTCAACCCAGTTTTTCCATCTGAGTTGAAGATAGGGTCTCAATGCCTTCCTTCCAGGGTTGCCATGGAGATTTGAGATCGTGGATATAAAGCACTCAAATAAGGCCTGGTGCCTTATAGGTATTTAGTAAATAAGCATTATTTCCCTCAAACAAAGTTAATGTAGTATTTATGGAATGAGTCCCTTGTAGTTGTGCAGCAGTGTCTTTTAAAGGACAAGAAAAGTTTCCAACTGCCAGCCTGTCCGACGACACAGGTGCTTGTGTTCTTATCCCTTTCAGGTCCATCTGGGAAGCGGGATTTGGGTTGATGAGGAGAAATGGCACCAGCTACAAGTAACCCAAGGAGATTCCAAGTACACAAAGAACTTGGCAGTCATGATTTGGGGAACAGATGTTCTGAAGAACAGAAGCGTCACAGGAGTTGCCACAAAAAAAAAGAAAGATGCGGTTCCTAAGCCACCCCTCTCGCCTCACAAACTAAGCATTGTCAGAGGTAGGTCACTGCAGTACAAACGCAATGACTGAGATGTTGTCCTGTACTCTGTCAGGAAGGTACCAGACACAGTTCAGGTCAGCAAACACTGAAGCCTCTCCATGCCAGGCCCCAGGCCATGTGTGGGACCTAAGAGAACAGGTATGGACCTTGTCCCTGGAGAGCTCACATTTCACAGGGAGATGAGCCATGGACACAAGTACGGTTCCGGGCGCTAGCGTGAGGGGGACTGATGATGTGTTGAGGGAGGTCTCGGGAGGGGAGCAGACCCCTAGCTGGAAAATCAAGAAAGGATTCCTGGGGAAGAGAGTCCCTGTCTTGGGCCTCAGAAGCGATGCTCCTGACCACTAGCCTCTAAGTGTCCAGACGCCATGTTTCAATGAAGAAAGTAGACTCCATCAACATGTACATTTTGAGCAGGCTGCATGCCAAGTTCTAGGGCAGACAGCAAGTATGTCAGATAATTTCAGGTACCGGTGAAGGTGGTGAAGCATCACCTCATGTTACAGTAGGACAAAGAGGGCTGTGTGAGGTGTGGTGGTTGGAGCAGGCCTGCTTGAAGAGGATGGGGCCTGGAGGTAGACGAGGCAGCCCCGTGGAGGTCTGAGGTGTGGTACAACAGGTAGAATACACAGGTGCAAAGGCCAGCACACTTAAGGGATGAGGAAGCTCCAGATGCGCAGAGTCATGAGTGAGGGGAGGGTGAGATCAGGGAGGTGAGTGAGAGCAAGTCTTGAGGGCCGAGAAGGCCACATGAAACAGCTTGAATCTGTGGAGTTCCAATAACACATGACTCCCAGGAGAAGGGTGGTGGGGTCTGCATATCGTGGAGTGACCAAATGGGAGATCAGTTAGGACACTCCTGCTGTGATCTCAGATAGAGATGATGGTGCCATGGACCTCGGTTATAGCAGTGGAAATGGGGAAAAATGGCCAGATGTCGGGTATGTTTTGGAGGTCAGGGTAGAGCAGGACTCAGCGAGATTTAGCAGGCTGAGGTTGGAGCCATAGGGTTCAAGCCCATGCTGCTGTGATCTGGTGTGAGGCTTGTTCTGCTCTAACACAGCTGCCTTTGCCTGGCTGACTCATGACTAATTGATTTAGGCAGCCACTTATTTTCAGACAGTCAGGTTACCTTTAGTCTGCCTGCTGTCTGGAATGGTGGGTCCGGAGCTGGGAGGTTGCCATGAGAAACAGGCCTTCCTGGGGATGCAGTCCTGCCCCGCTAGATAGGTGACCGACCTCTGATTCTATTGTACTGGTTGGAAGGTGACTCAGCAGGTCCCAGATGTCTCCCAGTGACTGGCTGGCCCACCACGGTCACGTTGTGGGTCTAAAATCATCTGCCGCGTGTCTGCCTCAGGCATGAGTCTGACCTTCTCTGATTCATCTCCACGTCCTCGTTGCCTGGCACAGGGCCTGGCACACAGTAGGAGCTCAGTAAATGCAGTTGGAACAAATGAAACACTGAGAGCAGCAAGCTGGTCCCCTGATTGACCCTTGGTATGATTTCTTGTCAGTCACTTCCCCTCCGAGTCTGAGTTTCCTCAGCTGAAAACTTCCCTCCTCAGACAACTAAAAGGATAGGATTATAGCTTAGAAAGAGTTATGTTCCAACTATGAAGAAAGTTACCATTCTTTGTTGACAAGTGTGCTGCCTCCGTGGAGCTGACGTGAGCCCGTGATGATCATGTCATTGAAGCTCACTGTCTTTCAGTGCTTCTCAGCTTGCGGGCTCTCTCCTGTCCACTCCTGGAGCAGGGTGATGGCAGGTTGAAACAGGAACCAGGTATCGAAAGCCTGGGTTCGAGCCCCAGCTCTGCTTTGGTTTAGCTGTGAGCTTACCCTGGTTCGTACTATATTCTCTTTTCTTTCCCCCAGCCTAGTGTCGTTCCAGCACCGAGTGGATGCTTGGTGTCTCCCATCTGTAAAGATCGCCGTCCTTGTTCTGGCTACCCAGTGGCCCACCTAGACATTTTGAATGTTCTTTAAACCCCATTCAGATGATGTCCTGTGCAGCTGATTGGGCCCCCAGAGCTATAGAACAATCTATAGGCGGCTCAGTTGTGTGGCCAGGGGCCATCCCATACTCACAGACTTCCGCCCCACCTGTCACGCCCCCCCCGCCACGCCCCCCAGGTTTTCCTCACTGAGCCATGCCCCCCATCCCCCCAACCAAGGAATTTTTAAACCTTCTCTGCTTTTCCTAACATGATAGTCCACATCTCACTCTTTCTCAAAAGATGGCCATGCCTCTTCCTTCATAGAGAAAAGAAAAGGAACTCCCACAGCTCTGAAGTGCAGACTTCACTGTAGACTTAACTGTACCCTCTGTTCTTCTGCCTCATGGCCCAAAAGAAGAGTTTCCTTCTCTTATTTGGGTCTGTCCTGTCTCTCCATCTGGATCCCAGCCCCGCTGCCTTCCTAAGTACCTCATTCTTCCAATTATGCTCCTGCACTCCTGCTTCCTTCCCAGCATCATTTAAATAGACTTTGACTCTTCATTTCTCATGAAAACAAATAAAACACTCCCTAGAGGCCACTCCTACTACCTAGCTGCTGCCATGTCTCTCTTTTTCTTTTCACATCCAGATTTCTTGAAAGGGTTGTCTACACTCGCTGCCTATGTTCACTTGTAATGCCCCTGCTGTCTGGTGTCCACTCCCAGCCCTCTGCTATGTCTGTTCCTGCCTCATTTCCCACAGACTTCCTCCTTTCCAAGTCCAGGGCATGTGTTTCACCTCCTCCCCAGATTGTCTGACATGACCACTCCTTCCTTACAGTGAAACCCTCCCCCAAGCTCCATTTCCTCCTGCTTCCCTGGCTTCTCATCCCTCTCGTGGGCTCCTCTTCTGCTGCCCTGGCATCTGTCCCCACAGCGTCCTCTCTCTCCACTAGCTCCCAGCTGGTCTCACTTTGCGCTGTGTCCATGGCCCTCTGTGTGCCCATGGCCTGGGCTGAAATCCACACTACTCGTCCTGGTGCACATCTGCTGACCTGGCCTCTGGGGACCCCTCTGTCCTCCCATTTCCCACCATGCTCCAACCACAGGGGCCTCTTTCCTCTTCCTTCACTGCCTGCCCTGCACACCCTGCCTCCTTCTGCTTCTCCAGCGAGGCCTTCCCCAACAGCCCAGTCTTCAGGAACCTTTCTGTTGCTCTCCCCACATAAAGTCTGTGCATAACATTTCTTGTTTGTTCCTGCACTGGGTAATCGTCTTTCCCCCCTGCCCAGTGGAACAGAAGCTTTGTGAGCATCTGGTTCAGGGAAGACAGGTAGTGAGTGCTCCGTAAACATTTGCTAACTCAGTGGATGACGCTCGCAGATCTCTCTTTGGCTCAGTCCACACTTCTGAGTTCCCAAGCCGCATATCCAGGTGCCCACGGCCTTCCCCTCACCAATGCCCACGTAGATGCTCCCTCCCTGCTCTCTTCTTTCTCCTCCCTTCAGAGCCTTGGTCCCCTCCTGCTCCCCTGTCTTGGTGAAGGGCGCTGCCAGCCAGGGGCCCAGAGATGTGTCACGCTTACCCCCTCCACATGCCTCGTTCCGTCTGTTCTGCCCCCAGATACATCTTAAACCACCCACTCCTCTCCCTGCCCCACTGCACCTTTCGTAGTCAGGCCATCATTCCCCCCCTACACGACTCCAGCAGCTTCCAGACTCCTGTCCCCATTATGTAACCAGAGTGATTGTTCAGAAACCAAACATGATCCTGTTTCCACCACCCCGTCACAGCCAGTCCATGGTGCCCATTATTAAAAGGTAAGCTTCTTAATGTGTCACGAAAGCACCTTTAGAACCTGGCCCCCAGCCCACGCTCCAGCTTTATTTTTCAGCAGTCTATCCCTAGAGTTCTTGTCCTCGTGAACTATTGTACTCTCTGAACAAACCTTGCACAAGTTAGGGAATTTGTAAATGCCATTCCTGGTGCCTGGACCGCAGGTCATGCTCCCCACCCTGCATCTGTGCCGCCTTGCCTGGCTAGCTGCCGCTAACCCCTCTCCCCGCCCCAGATATGCTTAGGAGAACCTTCCTTCAGGAAGCCTTCCCTCACCTCTCAGGGTGGGTGGACAATTCGGCTACATGTCCCACAGCCCTTTGTGCCCTCCTCTATTCTCTTTTTACTGTATCTTTGCCTCCCAGAGACCTGCTCTACCCACAACCCCTTAGAGCCCAGAAACAATTGCCGTGCAAGTGAATGAGAAGGAAGAATGACCCAAGGCCACTCAGCTGGTTAGGTGAGAGCTGGGTAGAACTAGGCTTTCAGACTTCCTTGTCTCCAGAGGTTTCTTGTGCTACCAGTGTTAGTTCTTTCTTTACTACAACCAGGCAGGTTTGAAGTCTGTCTCCTATCCCACCATACACTCACCATTTTTAGCCTAATTCTTTGAGCTCCTCCAGACTGCACTGGACTGGTTCTTCCCATGCAATCTCTTTGTGGATTGAGATTGCTTCCGTTAATTTGATGTTTACCACATTTAGTCTTGTTTGCCATATAAAAATGATAATCCCTGATGCTCACGAGGATTTTTTCATCTCTTTGATTTTAAAGTTGTTCCATAAGGCAGCGGGATGGGTGAACACTGACACCGTTTTAGAACAAGGGAAGCAGGATGGCTGTAGGAGAGTCTTTAATGATAAACTCCAGAATGACAGTTAAACCTTATTAAGGTCAAATGACCTTTTGCAGAGTGTCTGAGCTTTCTAAATGAGCCACAGCATTGAGTTCTGGTTAATTTTTATAACTTTTTTAATAGGACACCTTAGCGCTGTTATAAACCTTGTTAATTAAGCAATAATCTCAAATGCTCCCTCGCAGAGGGAGACATTCCCGGCAAGTGCAGGTGATTAATATTTAGAGTCTAACAAAGACTTTTAATCAACCTGAGGGGCCGTGCAGTGCTCCTGCCCCCAGGACACGAGAACGGTTGGGATTCTGAGGAGGATTCCTGTAAACCTTTCTCCATTCACCCCTTTCTCTTCCTGCCTCTTCTGTGACCCCTGTGAGGGCTCCGAGGGCCATCACATTCACCCTCCTTCTCTCCCTTCTCTCTCCTCAGCCTCTTTCCCACCTTTCTGGCTTCCAGACAGCTAAAGAGGTAGCACTGGAAGAATCTTCTTGGATTATGGGGTTTGCCATCCTGCTTTCACAGATGGTAAACTTGAGACCCAGAGGGGTTGGTTCCCGCTTAGAGGTTGCGCAACAACTAGGGCAAGAGCCAGAGTCAAACCCCTGAACTTCGAAGTGGTTCTCAGCACGAGTTGCCTCCCTCACTTGATTCAGGTTCCAGCAAAGTCGCTGTTAATGTCTGCTTCCTCCTGACCCAGGGCTGGAGATAGAATGTCCGGGCCTTCCTGTCTATGGGGGAGACACTGGTCACAGTTTTATTAGACTGCAGTCAGTGCTTTGAGAGAGTGAGCTAGCGGGAGCCCAGAGGCTGTCAGCAGAGTGGGGTCTCCCAGCTCAGTCTGGGATGTCCCAGGAAGGCTGAATCTGGAAGGATGAGTAAAGTTTTAGGGCACCAAAGGTCGGAGCCAGGCTAATCAGGGAAAAGATGATCACAGGCGCTGATTTGTGGGATAGCCTGGAGCGGGAGAGAATTGCAGGTGGACCCAGCAGAAGGCAGGACTGGAGCGAGACGGGGCCTCCAACCTTCTTGTCTCAGTCCCTGTGGAAAGTCCAAGACAAGATGAAGTGGAGATTAGAGGGCTCCGGAGTGGTCAGGGAACAGTGGAGGTCAACCGAAAGCTTTTAAAGTCTTCTCTGTGCAAACCCCTTCTCAGTGGTGGTGTGTGTGTGGCAGGAGGCCGGGATCCCTGGACACAGAGAACGCCTCCAGTGCTTGCCGCAGCAGTGTGGATGGCACCGGGAAGCAGGCTGGCCACACACCCAGGAAGGGCTTGGCACTGGGGGTGGCAGCCGAGGCCTATGCCTGTACTCACCCCCTTTCTGCAGGCCTCTGACTTCTCTCACGCCAGTGGAGGGTCAGCATGGGGTAGGCCCTGCAGTTCCTCAGAGCATGACATGCTGCATCTCCAGTAGGACTGCCTGTTGTGGGCTGGGCTGGTAGACAAGATTTTGTTTATCTTCCATTGCCATTCTGTAAGAGTGGGTCGTGGTTCCTGTCTCAGAGGTCAGGAAGCGCAAATTCAAAGTAGTTAAAATTCTTGCCCACAATTATGTACCCCAGTGCCACATTCCCCATGCACTCCTCCAGTCCCCTCACATCCCCTCAGGTTTCCCTGAGAAAGCAGTCACTCATTCACTTCACATAAATTCGCTTAACCTTGCCCCTCTGCAAGCACTGTGCTTGGCCCCGGGAACGAGCAGTTGTGGTGCATAAGAGACTTGTAACAGCCCCGCGGAGGTGTAACACTACGGTTTGAGGAAGGCTTGCAAAATGTTGATCTCCTATGCTCCATCACAGCCTTAAAAAAGATAACCTGTGGCTTGTCATCCTTGGTTATGAGGTGAGGAATCTAGGGCAGTGATTTGCCTCAGGTGCCCAGGCTAGGAAGTGGACTGAAGTCAGGCTCGTCAGACCGCGTCGGAGGCTTGTTCTTGGCTTCATCACACTGCAAATGTCAGACTCCGTAAGAGTGGCCATCCTCAGCCTCAGTACTAATGACCACAATGAGATGCCACTTCGCACCCACCAGGTGGTCAGAACCTTAATAACCTCACAGTGTCAGGTGCTTTTGAAGATACAGGGCAACCCGCACTTGCATATGCTACTGTTAGGGGCAGCGCAACCACTTTGGAAAGCAGTTCACCGGGTACCACCTAGCAAAGCTGAGCATGCACACGCCCTAGCATTCGGCAGCTCCGCACGGAGGCCCGTGCTGGGGATCCGCCTGCGTGAGCGCTCCACGAGACACACGCTGGGGTGTTCGTGATCGCAGAACACTGGAAACCATCCAGGTCTCCACTGACCATAAAATGGATCAGCAAATGGTGGAGTAGTCCTTTCAAGAGCATACTGCCCTCCAGTGAAAATGAATGAGCTGCAGCTTCCCACTTCCACTCGGGTAAATCACGAAATGTTGAGTGAAAAACAAAGTCAGAAAGATATTTGAGGTGTGGATACCCTTGTAAAACAATTAGGAAACAGGGAGGAGTAAACAATATCTTATTTAGGAACATATACACATGTGATAAGATAAGAAGAAAAGAACAAATCCGGAAGAGTGCTTCCCTCTGGGGAGGTTGGGCTTGGGAGGGGACCCCAGGGGACCAATGATGTCTTATTAAGCTGGGTGGTAGGCACACGGATGTTGTATCCTAATTTTTAAAGGATAAACTTACAGTTTCTATCTATTCTTTTCTAAGTACACTTGTGATGAAAATTTTAAAATACAGCTCTGCCAGACACGAGAATTGGTGTTTGGGAGGGATGTCAGGAGGCCCATTTTCTTTTTGCCCCCTTAAAAGATTGTACTCCAATCCACCATTAATCCTTGGCTGTCTTGTTTCTTTCCTCTGTCTAGAGTGTTTGTATGACAGAATAGCACAAGAAACTGTGGATGAAACTGAAATTGCACAGAGACTCTCCAAAGTCAACAAGTACATCTGTGAAAAAATCATGGATATCAATAAATCCTGTAAAAATGAAGAACGAAGGGAAGCAAAATACAATTTGCAATAAACTTTGGATTTTTCATAAAGCCTTATCGTTTTTCCTTGCGTGGCTTGTGATTTGCGGGCGATGGTGCTGTCCAGATCAGACCCCACTGTGCGTGGTGGGATGTGGGCAGGGAGCCAGCAGGTTTCCAGGGTCATCGACTTGCCCTGAACTTGGACTCCCCATTCCAAAGAATTCAGACGGATTTGCTGAGACTCAGGCAGCAACATGGCGCCAGCATCATTCTGGGGATGGGGAAAGTGCTGTCTTTTCGGAGGGGGATAAAGTGTCTCTGAGTTGCCTATCACTTGACTGAGAATTTGAACTAATATTTTTACCATTCAAGGACTTCTATCTCTGTTCCTCTATTTTGTTCTATAATAAAGCTTCATTAATTCTTTGATGTAGACAATCATTATCCTCATTTATTTAAGGATATCAAGTGTACAGAGGAGGTGACCAGTGTCCTTTGAGGGGCGGAACATTCAGGCTGAAAGCAAGAAAATTCATAAGGGGTGTGGTTGCTGTCTGCAGATCCGAAGGGCTGTCTCGAAACCAAATTACTTTCTCATACTTCAAAGGACAGATCTAAGACCAGACGCCCTTTTCACTCAAGATGATCTGAGATCCAGCTTCCTTGATAAGTTGAATCCATCTCTGTAAAAGGGCGTAGGGGGCGGTAATGTGAGAAGTGGTCCGACGTTACCTTCAGGAAGTAGGGGGCAATGTCACCCTGTGTCAGTTCGTTTATCCTTTTATATCTCAAATGATCTTTCAAGTTACATAATTTTTATCTCACTCAGCAACTGCTTCACTAAGGTGCCTGGTGCACAATCTGGCAAACCACATTCGATCTTCCTGTTGATTTGCACTTTCTGTAATGCCTGTGAAGTCAGCATGGTGTATTGGAAATGGCAAGGGCTTGGGGCTGAGCGCCTGGGTTCCATGCCTGGCTTCCCTGCTTGCTTTGGGCTTAACCTAATCTCTTGAGTTTCCGTTTTCTGTTCCATAAAAAGGAGATGATATCTACCTTACAGAGTTGCTATAAGAATTCTTTACGTATATATGAAGTGTTCAATAAATGTTGCCAATTATTATTTTCTTCATTTCTGGTTATTGGCTTTTAGGCATTGGTTGGAAAACTTGGGCCTCCGTTTTCTCTAATGCTTGATCCACCAGACCACTGAAGATCTATAAGCCAAAGGTCACCGTCACTGGGTTAAGTAGGGGAAGTGGCTACGTCTTTGACGACTTTTATTTTAGTAAATAAAAGAATCCTTTGTAATGTGAAATATTGTATGCTTGATAACAGAATGTGTAGATGTGAATTTCCTTTTATGGCATTTCCCCAACTTTCCACAAACTAGCAGTGCGATCTTGGGCTGGCTGCTTAACTTCTCAGAGTCCTTATCAATATAATGAGGAAAATAATGTCTACCTCACAGGCTGTATGGATAATTAAATAATAACATAATATATGTCAGGACTTTTGTAAGTGTTTAACACAGTTTAACTCGTTTCATGAGTAAAGTTTGTGACACTTGGTAGCAGTGTTTGATTAATTCATGCTATTAAAATGGGTTCATTTCAACGGTGTGGGCATGAGTAGTGCGGAATGCATGAAAGACTGGGGAAAAACTACGCATTATTCTTGAGCTCATCGCTTCTTCTCCCTAACCACAGCGGAGACACAGACACCCAGAAGCTCTGTGAATTTCCCTTCAAAGACTATTACCTTATGGTACCCACTTTATAGGTGCTTTTAGGTTGGTGGGGGAAATAGTTGTGGAAATACATTTTAAAACGTTATAAGAGATTTGAAAGTGCTTTGTGTAATGTATATTGCCTATAGTAGGGACAGACCAGGGTGTGAAAGATTCTGGGATCTGCATTCAAATCCTGACTTTACCCCTAATGGCAAGGTCTTTTGGGCTCTCTGGGGCTCATTTCTTTTAAAGTGGAGATAATGATCCCTAACTCAGGGTTGTTGTGAAGAGTACTCCAGGTAATATCTGGGAAAAGGACTCTGCAAATCTCAAAGAACCACACAGATGTTAGTTACTTTTAGCTTAGAAGGCAGAATAAAGTCAAAAGTGGGTGTGACAAGGAAGGACACAGAGCCAATTCTGATGGGAAATCAGGAGAGGTTCATACCCTACTTAGACTGAAAGGGTTTTGAGCCTCTCTTGTGTACCCAGTGCCCTGTTACTGTCATACAGGGGCAGGACCATCATTCCTGTACCTGCACAAGTGAAGAAACAGGCTCAAAAAAAAAAAAAAAAAAAAAAAAAAAGGCTAAATAGCATGGTGGCCAACGTCTCAGATTTGTCAGCAGTGAAGTCAGGTCAGAATCCAGGTCTGTGCACAAACCCCCTTGTCACCTCCTCCCTGAAAGGTGAGTGGGATGTTAAGGCCTGGGCTGAAACTCTAGGACTGTAATTTCAGGGTATGTTTAGAGAGACCCAACTTCCGTAACCAGTGGAAATCAGTCTCATTAACTGAAGCCATTGAAGGAACTATAGTACCATTTAAAAGGATTCACAGTTTTATTACAGATACATAGACAAAACTCAAATCATTTGGTGTGGTAGAGAGTTTCCAAACATGTCCAATATTAAGAATTTGCTGAGGCTTAAATTACAGACTTCTGGGCTGTGGCTTAGTGAGCTCGAGTCAAGAAGTTTGAGATGGGGCTGGTGCTGTGTATTTGAACACAAGCACCTCTCTTGAGCAGTATCAGTCCAGTTGAAGTCATTTGACGACCTGCTTTACTGGAGGAACAAGAGTGTTTCCTACATAAAAAGACGTGCTCCTTCTCCAGTACCTGAGGATGCCTGAAACAGAGTAAATTTCCTTTTTTTTTCTTTAAAGATTTTATTTATTTATTTGACACACAGAGATCACAAGTAGGCAGAGAGGCAGGCAGAGAGAGAAGAGGAAGCAGGCTCCCCACCGAGCAGAGAGCCTGATGCGGGGCTCGATTCCAGGACCCTGAGATCATGACCTGAGCTGAACGCAGAGGCTTTAACCCACTGAGCCACTCAGGCTCCCCAGTAAATTTCCTTTTGAGTAGCTGAGGCTCCACCCCCAAAGCTTGTTCCGAGTCACTCTTTCCTGATCACGGAGTGCTGAGCCGTTGGACAAGATGCAGGTGACTTTCATTTTAGGCCCCAATGAGCATCCCCTCACTTTCATACTTAGGTTCTTTCTTTTCGATTCCTGTGACAGGCCGATGAGCTGTGGAGGACAGGACAGTCAGGACTCAATTGGCAGAGCCTGGATGGATGGCGTTTGGGCACTGTCTTCACAAGTCCTGGCAACAAGTTCGTGGTTACCAGATGAAACGGAAAGATATGGCTTGTTTTTATTTTCTGGCAAAGGAACGTGTGTGAGTGACCGTTCTGTGCCTGTGCATTTCTTGGGTGCATTTCAAATTATGACTTGCTTTTGTAGTTATAAAGAAATAAAAGCCACTTCATAGAAATTTTTAGAAAAACAGGGGAAAACGTTCCAAATTGGGCTACTACAAGCATTGCGATATATCTCTTGTAGTCTCTTTTTCAAGGCCTGAGTATGTATTTTGCATACCTGTGATCAAAGCCTATTATCAGGTTTGCAGCCTTCCCTTTCCATTTACTATGTTTCCCTGCTGCTCCGTGAAACGTAACCGTCCATTCCAACATCGACCAAGTTGACGGACATCAAGCTATAGTGGAGGAAGCCATCTGCTGGGCTGTGGGGCTAAGATGGAGGGCTGCCAGCTCCTGAGGGAGGCCCGCTGCACGCACGGTCCAGGACAGGAGGCAGGGAGAGCCTGAGTCTAGAGGTCCCCACATTAGAGTTTGTTTCCCAAGTCTCGCACGGACTGCCTCACCTGACCTGAGTTCCGTCCTCTTTCTGAACGCCAGCTTCTTCATTTGCAAAATGGAGGAAATAATGTCCCATCGTGGGGTTGTTAGAAGGACTGAGAATGTAATTAAAGCACCAGGCCGGAGTGGACAAAGGGCCGCCAGGATGAGAGCTGACATTCTTCTCCTCTTCTCTCCCCACAACCATTCAAGTCCTCCCCCAAGTTCCCCGGTCCAGTCTCCAGCCTACTCTGACCTCTTACATGGTGACCTTGGCTTTCACACCTGCCTTTGGCCCTCCAGACAGCTTGTGCTTATCCCACAGCACTTGGTGCTCCTGGGCTTTTCCTTGTGCACAACAAGCAGGCCCCTCCCCGCCTTCTGGCTCCCCTCGCCAACCTCAACCCTAGCCCCACCACCCAGCTGCCCATTTGCCCTTCCTTGTCCTTTAAGTTATTTATAAACAAAACTCAGGGGAAGGTTTTTTGTGTGCACAGTTTTTTTTTTCTTCCTTTATATTTTCTATCATTTTCTTAAGGTCGTTTTACTGGAGTCAAAAGGAATGACATTTTTTTCCTTTATATTTTTAATTTTTTTATAAACATATAGTGTATTTTTATCCCCAGGGGTACAGGTCTGTGAATCACCAGGTTTACACACTTCACAGCACTCACCATAGCATATACCCTCCCCTATGTCCATAACCCCACCACCCTCTCCCAACCCCCCTTCCCCCAGCAACCCCCAGTTTGTTTTGTGAGATTAAGAGTCACTTACAATTTGTCTCCCTCCCGATCCCATCTTGTTTCATTTATTCTTCTCCTACCCCCCAGCCCCCCACGTTGCATCTCCACTTCCTCATATCAGGGAGATCATATGATAGTTGTCTTTCTCCGACTGACTTATTTCACTAAGCATAATACCCTCTAGTTCCATCCACGTCATTGCAAATGGCAAGATTTCATTTCTTTTGATGGCTGCATAGTATTCCATTGTATATATATACCACATCTTCTTTATCCATTCATCCGTTGATGGATATCTAGGTAGGAATGACATTTTTTTTATCAGTCTTGATACATATAATGAGTGTGACCATGTTTTAAATTATTTTGCCGCCTTACTAGGTGAAAACTAGTATGTCATTATATTTTCTTTGATTATTTCTGAGATTGCACATTTCCCCAGAGTTTGGTTTCTTGCTTTCAGAAAACAAAGCCTTAACCTGTGAGCATTTCCAGCAGAATCTATTTCATTTTCATTTTCTGTGTTTAGTTTTCTCTGGACAAATGTGTTTACATTGGGCATATAATTTTTACTTTTATATCTATAAAGAGACACGTCAACAGATACTTTCATCCCTTCTTTTGAAGGAATTGATCAGTTTGTGCCAAACAGCTTCATAGGCTCGTGGAACTTCTGGGTCAAAAGTGCAGTTGGAGGTCCTCTACCCAGATCTCCTATCCACTATAAGCAAATGCCTTTCTAGACCATTCCTGAACACCTCCAGGCACGGGAGTCATCTTCCTACCCAAGAGTCCATCCAGTTATTGCTGTCA